GGCTACTCACTCAGTGTGAGGTGAAAAAGAAGAGTCATTGACTCCAGAGACAAATATTGACCGAGTGAAAATAAATCTTCCATCTCAAAGGACAGAAAACATTGTGTTCTTTGAAACAGGTCCAATATATTTGATTAGGTGTTTCTTTGTGAAAAAGTTCAGAACGTGTTGTCATCAGAGCCACAAAAAGATTAGGGGGAATAATCCCAGCTCCTTTTAAACCTAAAACTAGAGCTGACCCAGCCAGAGTCTTATCAGAAAGCTGAGTTTTGGCTGGGCTAGGGTCAGCCTATTTTATTCTTCCTCTGTTAAAAAAAAAAAAAAAAAAGTTTTACTGAGCTTTAATTCTGAGGACAGCAAATTAGCATGTGAAGGCCAATATTCTGACCTGCTCTTCCCAAACTTATTATGGGAAAAAGTGACAGGGTGCTATTGGCCACCTCCAGCTCCTCAAGGGACAATTTTTTTAAAAAAAAAAAAAGGCAAAAAGCAAGCTCATGATCCAGGGATATTTTGAAAAGCTCAAAAGTTTGAAGTGTGCAAAGCCATCAGGACAGAAATGAAGAGTTTGGATTTACAGAATTCCCTATTGGAGCTATTTTGGTTTCATCTTTTAAAAGCAGCTTTAATACGATTCATGGAATTCACTGAGGCTAATCAAATTTTCTTCAGGTCTCAGGGCGAGTTTGAACTCTTGAAGGATAAACAGAAACTTCTTGACTGTTTTTAAAGTCCTGCAATAAGGGTTGTTGTTTTTTAAACTGGGATAACATATTTTAACAATCTATAAAAAGCCTTTCTATTGCTAAATTTTACAGTCACCTTTTTTGTGTGTCTGTGCATATGTTTTTAAATAGCCTATTAGTTCATGGGCCAATTAAGCTTTTTATTATTTTTATACAAAATTGAGAGAGCTGCACAACTCTATTAATAGAAAGCAAGAACATGACTTTATTGCTGGATTTAGATTCATTTTCATGAGACAAACATGGTCTCACAATGCTTCAGGGACAGGCCACATAAGAGGAAAGAAAGTGCAGAGATTCGAGACTGTTTTACATTAAGTAAAAAAAAAAAAAACAACAAAAAAACAGGCAAAATTGAATTATGGAGCTATAATCCTATCATCTCAGGGGTTATGACAAATGTATGATTCATTTGGGCTGACTCAGCAATGCACCTAAACAAACGCTCAGGTCCCATTGCCGTCAATCAGCAAAGGCCCTCTGGAACATCAACACAGTGGTTACTGTAATCCCGGAGGTATCCTACATTTTGACAAACTTGGAACGTTTGTGGCTATCTGAGGGGAAATTATCACATTTCGTCTTCAGCACAAAAGGCAAGGACTTGCAGAACTTATGTTGTCTACATACTTCCAAGCACATGAAGACAATAATCCCAACAGGGGCTTTTGAAGGTATAAGAATGTAAATATTATGCAAAGACAGGAAAACCTACAAGTATATTCATTGCTTGACTAGTGCTTTTACTCAAAACAAAGAAAAAAATGACCAACTGTGGAATTATTTCCCCTGGTGTTTTCTTTATAACTTGTAACTCACTGTTCTCCCACTGGTATTTGGAGAAGGAAGAATAAAAGTACCAAGATGACGCAGTCTCCATTCCTCCTAGACTGCTGACATGGAAAAATGTCTATTTTTATAGGAAGCAAAAAAAAAAAAAAAAAAGAAAGAAAAAAACAACAAAAAGAAAAACAGTTTCACTTCCCTGGCTATCAGAAAACCAAACCCAACACTTGTAGTTTAGAAATCAGTACAGCCAATGTGGGCTCTTTAAAAAAGACACAAATCATGGAGCAGAACACCATTTTGACAAGCTGCCTAGAAATATCTTACATAAACAGCTGCCCCAGGGAACTTAAATTGCCTTAACATTAACCTGCTGAGGGGGAAAAAAAAAGTCCATCCCAAACCCTACACTTGCATCTTTCTCTTTCTTCTTTGCCTGGGAGCTGAGCATCTGAAATACAGAAGCTTGGTTTCTTGCAGATTTGTTTCCCAAAGCTGAGCCCAAAGGTTATTTCCTTTGGTGTCCAATAGGGCACGATCTCACCCTGCAGCCTTTTTGTCAGTAAAGGTCTTCACTCACAATGTTCTTCCTCTGTTATCTAGTTACCAGCTGTAGGAACTTGCAGATATTTTATATCTTTGAGGCCTCCACTCCTTTGTAACTACATCAAGTTGGAGTTACTGTAATAGCAGACGAGATGCATAAAAACAAAGTATCATTGCATAAATCGTCCCCTTAGAATATAAAAAGACCTGAAAGGTGGCAGACCTCTCTACTTCTTTAGGAGCAGAGAATTACTCAAAAAAACCCAAAGCTAATGAGAGATGAGTTTACTTAGCTTTTTATAATGGAAATAAGGCTTATGAGATCACTCATAACCAGTCACACATGTGTGTGTGTGGTAATTTCCTCCATGAAACTATCAACAAATTTAAATTAAATCTAACAGTGGGGGAGCATCTTCTCTCAGAAGCACAATTTCTACAAGTTTCAAGAAAACAGGCAGCTGGATAAAGGGAAATATCCTATAAACTGCCATGGACGGAAATGCTGTAACACAAACTCCACCTCTATTGTGTATTAGGCAACCCAAATTTTAGAAAGACGTTATTAATGAGAAAAAAAAAAAGAGAAATATTAGATTCCTGATTTCTGGGTTGTTTTTGTTTTTGTTTTGTTTGGTTTTTTTTTTTTTTTTGGCAAAGCCAGACACATGTCAGGGACTTACAGCTAGCTTAATCCAGCAGGTAGGGGTTTCCCTGGTGGAATTTGGGGGTCACTAGCTGCCCTAACTTTAAAATTAAGAGAACTAGAGAAGCTGCCTATAACCTGCCTGATCCCAGCAGCACCAAAGGTTGCTCTACAGTATTACAGAGCAAGATTTTAGATATGAAAGGATGTGGATATTTACACCACCTACTTTAAGGCATGATGCTGTAAGTTTGGAGGCAATAAACCCTAGGTTCATCAGAGTGGACAGAAAAGCTTTTCTAAAGGTAGTGCAGAATAAGAGTTTCTGCTCCGTATTCTTGCTCTTGTAAGGCAAGCAAAGGACATGAAGCTCCTAGCATTGTCCAGTTTAATCTTCAATATTAGAAAGACAGTTTCTTGCACAGTTAATTAGAGAGATGTGAAAATATTTTGAAAGACTATCACGTTTTCCTTATGTACCAGATCACTACAATAATCTTGGGGAAAGCAATTTTAGTCTCTAAAACCGTATCTGAACAGTCACAGTTGTCTCCAGTAACCTAAACGGGAACCAGTAAAGCCCAGAGCTTTGTCATTCAGATGAGGACATAACTATAGGTAGCGACTCAGCAGAAATCGAGGGAAAATGCTGCCTATAGCCTAAGTGATTCAAACATGCCTACCCGTTCTCCCTTGATCTTCGTTAATCCATCCAACCACACTTGGTTAAGTTAATCCCTCATGACATAGCTTGTCATTTTATCTTATCAAAACCTAACCAATGCAGTTACATTAGAAAAAAAATAATATACTTGCCACTTTAAGTAACCATAAAAAGACATCGCTATCTCATTGCGCAAAAATCAAGTGTGAAACGGAATTAACTGTCGCAGGGTGAATTTGGTAAATGCTATTTCATGTTATATACTTTGAAAATAAACTTCTAAACCCAGCAGAATCAGCTTCCGTGGCAATAAAGTATTTTGACAATAATGTATGTTCCTACTTTATCTTACAGTTCAGTAGCACTAAGTTAAAGGAGCAAAGGTAATACAATGTGTTTGGCTTGTTCCTGGCTACTGGCAACATACACTTCTTTTATTAAGGTTTTGAATGTTTATCAGTTGTAATGTAAGCCTTACATCCCAAGATGAGAACATGATAGTCTTACGAAAAACTGCTCATTCAGTCAATTTTTCTGATAGTAGCATGCAGGTAACTAACACCCCAAACTACAGATTTGCAAGTCATTATGCTTCCACTTAGCAAATGGCTAAAAAAGAATCTGTCATTCTAAATAAGAGTTAGTATCAGCAGTATCACCATTTCAAATACTGTAAGATAAAGCAGAGTTTCAATATTAGTAAAAACTGCTATTAGAGCATAGTCAGTTTGGAAGGTAGACACCCATCCATATAAACCACACACATATAACCCGGCATGGTCTCTATTGCAAGGAAAATTAAAAAATAAGTCAACAAGACAAGCTATGCAATATTTTTCCTGTACTAGATTAGCACCTACTACTCTGTAATACTTACATTTATTAACCTTCAACTTGCTTCCATCTACTGGAATTGGATCTATGTAATCCCAATAATATTCATACGACCAAAAATATTCAGAGGAGTTAGTTCTGTTAGCCATTTCAGTAGAGCATTTTAAATCAGCTCAGAACTCCAACCAAATACTTTTTTTCATTGTACTTCAGCGCCCTCAGAAAGAGATTGCATAACTGATGCCTATGTAAATCACTCTGGGGTCCCGCAGCTCAAGGACTGCCTTGGTACTAAAAAACATCTAGCAGCAATGAATATTAATGTCTGACAGATACGAAACTGCAGCCCTTAAAATGTAATCCTCACTTCCTGGTGGACAACTGTTATTCCTCAGTGTATTTTAAATATTTCTTGACGTATTTTAAACTCAGATGGATGTCAAATGACCCAAGAATGGGCTGGACAAGCGCCAGCTGGGTCACAAACCCTTCCCTCTCAGAAACCTGCAGCGACATAGCACTCTCTGGAGCTACTGAAAACAGATGGCCTGAAAGAAATTTCTGTATTTCTCTTGACGTAAAACCATAGGTAAGACCTGACAAAACGCTTCATGAACAAAGGCCGTATTGGAATAACCATGCATTTTGCTTCGCTGCTTCTCCACCCCCTCCACCCTGAAGGCAATGTGTGGAGAGGCAGGCTCCCAACCAAGACGAAGGCAGACCAGTTGAAGGTGTTTGGCCCACAGCGGTCTTGTGCCTCTGCAAACATACCGCTATGAGCCTCGCTGAGCTTCACAGACCCGCAATTGCACACCCCAACTGCGACACAGGCCCTCAGCTCGCTTTCGGCTGCGCCCCTAAAACCCCCGGGGTACGCTGCAGCCGGGTAGACCAGTGCTGCTCCCTCAGGCACCTCACGGAGGAAAGGCGGGAACCAGCAGCAAGGTGCGCAAACGCAGCACATAAAGCCCCAGCTCGGTTAAAAGCAGCTTTCAAGACACGTATCGCCATCTTCCCCGTGCCTCCCACCCCCCTGAGGCGTCGCTGAGGGCCGCAGAAGCAGTCCCGTCCCCCTCCCCCCCACCCCG